GTCGACTGAAATTTGATGCGCCGGAGACACAAGACTATTGCCAGACTTGAGCACATCCTGAGAATCTTGTCAGGTTTATTGTTTATTTTGTCTTTGCGAAAATTATTGCCACCAAGAAACCTAAAACCCTGCATGAACTGAAAGCAAAGCTCATCATACTGAACGCAAGGACACTCACGTGTACTTAACATCTTGAAACGGCGCCTTGTTTCCTCGGCCATAATATAATGCATGTACTTAACTTCTGTTCCTCAAAAGTAGGCAACTAAACTTTGTGCATGTTTCTGTTTAAACCGAACATATTAAACGACACGGATGTTTGTGGTAGATTAACGGAAACCTTCTTCAACGACAATGATTCCACTCGATTTTTGTCAATTCTCTTTTAATGTATTTTTAACCATTCAATATTTCTTGGTGAAATTTAATATTTCGGGTGCTGTCAGCCCTGGCGTGACTTAATCTCCGTAGTGACACACACTGTTTTGACATAAACGTCAGCTCTTCCAGAGTCTCCTTCAGATACTTTGATAACACTGATGTCCATCAGTTTGAAAACAATAGGGCTGCTTTTTGTGGGAAAAATTGACTTACCCTTGCAAACTGAGGTGATTTTGTTTTTTCCGTTGTATGGCCAAACCGTCAGTGTTTCTTAGGTCAACTCAGGAGTTTGCGTAACTATCAAACTGAAAAGAAAACGATGTTGTGCAAATACAGGTTATGTTAAAATGAAAACAATCCACTTTACAAACACAGCAAGGGTCGATCGATAAATGATCAAGATTTGAGGTTTCTCGTTTCTGTTATTCAAGTTAAAAATACAGCAATTCAGAGGGTTAGGAATGACCTGTAAATGAATGCGTCGACATCGTAATTACATTGTTATTTCATCGCGTTGGAATATCCGTTTTTTTCAACACCTTCTCATTTCGAACACTAAAAATTTATTAACCCGCCTTCTCTAGAAGACCCCTCCCGCCCGCCTGGACTCGGAATACTTCAGAAAAGATCTCCTGAAGACTAGTCTTTCTTTCTGTGGTCTAAAAGAGACTCTTCTAAGTTTAAAATATGTAATTTTTTCTGCTTTCGTACACAAAATACCAAGTGACTGGGCTTCTCTGATAGATCATCGTCTTCTGTGAGACTACGGTACAGCCAACGTCATCCAGTTAACTCTTTTCCCTTCTTTCTTCCTCAAAAATCCAAAAACAACTTGAAAAATACAAGTAAAGAAATGATCCTCTCAGATGAGCTGTAAGTAAAAGAACTGCAGGAAAGAATCCTAAAAAATTTCAGGCTTCGCTGGGATTCTTACCCAGATACTAGTTGTCCCCTAGATACAAGTTATCCCCCAGATACTAGCTATCCCACCAATAAACTAGTTGGGCGTCACCATCAAGACACTAGTTGTCCCGATGGTAAAAGTTGACCTCCGGATACTAGTTGTTCCCCAGATAATAGTTGGGCGTCACCATCAAGACACTAGTTGTCCCCAAGGTAATAGTTGCCCCCCGGATACTGGTTGTTCTCCAGATACTAGTTGGGCGTCACCCCCAAGATTCTAGTTGTCCCCCAGATAATAGTTGTCCACCGCATACTAGTTGTCCCCCAGATACTAGTTGTCCCCTAGATACTAGCTCCGCCACCAGATACTAGTTATCCCCCAGATACTAGTTGTCACCCAGATACTGGTTGGGCGTCGCCACCAACTGAGTTGCGAAGCCACATGTAGAAAGAGAAGCAACTTGTAATGAGAACGTCTTTTCCAAAGTGGGAACTGCTAACAATTAAATCAATAATTTAATTTTGATGATTTTGAAAATACCACTTATGCTATATATTTTTTTCGACAGTTGGAACTAATAAACGTAAAGATGTCTAAAGCGAAGCGTGTCTGTGTGATCGGTGCAGGTCCCAGTGGTATGTCAGTATTATTTCACTTCAATAAACTGAAAGAACAAGGCAAAGAAATTCCTGAAATTGTGTGCTTCGACAAGCAGTCAGACTGGGGAGGGCTCTGGAAATACTCCTGGGAAACTGGTGAGTACATAGTTTTTAGTGGCACGTTGACACACTCTTTTGCAGAGCCTTTGTTTCTAGTCATTTGATCTTGTTATGTCTTTCTAGTAAAAGTTGCATTTTCTTGGTGTAGATGAGGTTTAGCCGCTTGGAGGAGGATCCAACTGTGTAATATGTTCTTGGCGTTTTCTTCTTTAACATGCAGTGTCAACATCGCACCAAAAAGGGCGCCGTTAAAAATGTGGAAAATAAACATGGGGCAATTTGAGCGGGTCAATGCTTCTGAATTAAGGGGAAGGCAGTGTACTAAAAGATAAAATTTTTTTGCGACGTCCTAGAGTCGATTTGAAACGCATACTGAGAGAAAAAGGTTAAGCAAACCATGATTTGAGTTGAAGAAAAAATGAAGACTATACAATGATTATATTCTTTTAACTCTTTTCTTTATTCAGGTATCGATCAGTTTGGTGAACCCGTCCATGGAAGTATGTACCGAGGCCTTTGGTCGAATGGTCCGAAGGAAGTTTTAGAGTTTCCGGATTACACGTTTGAAGATCATTTCAAAAAGGCAATTCCATCCTTCCCACCCAGAGAGGTTCTCTTTGATTACTTGAAAGGTATGTAATCTTTCCATCTCAACAACTAACCCGTTGGTTAGCTCTGTTCCTGATTTCGATCACTGTTTTTTTTTTTTTATTGTTGCGTTTTTCCTAATTCCGATACGAAAGAAAAAAAACACAGGCCTACCTCTTAAGGGCAAAATTAGCCGTAGACGGGCGATGTAGAGGTTATGAAATAAACACACAACTGTTAGCACGTAACGTAACATATTTCCTCTCACTGAATCTTCTATAAGGTCGCTGGACTACAGCCGATCTTCGACACTGGATTCGTTTCAATCATGCCGTCCGCCAGGTGACCTACAATGATGACACTGACGACTTTTCAGTGGTTGTCAAAAGCCTTGTCGAGGACAAAGACCTTCCTGTTCAGAAGTTTGACTACCTTATTGTAGCAACTGGTCACTTTTCTGTGCCGAACGTTCCCTTTTTTCCAGGAATAGAGGAGTTTCCTGGCCGCGTGATGCACTCACACGACTTCCGAAATGCCTATCAGTTCCAAGGACAGACGCTTCTTGTGGTCGGCTCCAGCTATTCCGCTGAGGATATCGCTTTGCAAAACCTCAAATATGGCGCCATAAAGATCATTTGCTCCTACAAGACCAGGCCAATGGGCTTCAAGTGGCCCCCTGAGATCACTGAGAGACCACTGCTAACAAAGATCAAAGGCAAAACTGTCCACTTCAAGGATGGTAGCAAGGCCGATGTGGACGCCATCATTTTGTGCACCGGCTACTGCTTCCACTTTCCGTTCCTTGAAGAGCGCCTCCGGCTGAAGGCCAGGAATATCTTGTACCCTTCCGGGATGTACAAGAATGTACTGTGGACCGAGGCTGGCAACAACAAGTTTTTCTACATTGGAATGCAGGACCAG